TATCTATCTACCTATCTATATATCCATTCGTCCATCTATCCATCCATCTATCCATCCATCCATCCATCTATCTATCTATACATCCATCTATCTATCCATCTATCTATCCATCCGTCTATCCACCAATCTATCCATCTGTCTATCGGGAGCTGTAATTCATCGCTCGTGCGCCAGTGGGCTGCCAATACTGAAAAGGCGTTACCCTTAACGATCACCTGAGAGATTCTCTTTAACAACCATCTCGTCTCTCGTGGGTCACCTGTGGCGTTTTTTAACCTACGACCAACTTTCTGGAAGAACTGGGTCGTCAGGGGATCAAGAGCGCCGGATGTTTCGACGGCCACTGGGACGAAGTGGTTGCAGTCGTTGAGGCCTGCGTACTTTCTAATTTTGGACTCTTCTACCTTCTTGGCGATGCTGCAGGGAGCAGAGGCAGAGGAGGCGATGGACAGCGGGCGGTGAGAACGAGTCGGAGCATGTGGCGTCCCACACGAGGCTTTTGCCACCCTCGAATGGAAAGATGTTGATGCCATCCGGCCTTTTGTCGACGCCCCGGTCGAGGCCGGAGGGTTCAAGGATGCAATGTAGGCCAGATGCATCGAGCGCATGCTTCACGATGTCGTTGAGGGGGGCGTGACGTGGGAAACGACCACCACTTCGACAACAGGACAGAGTGGGTGTAGGCCGAAGCTATCGACTGGTGATCCACATCGGCCTGTGTGAGGCTCGCACACTTTGAGGCCGAGTCTCGTCGCCACTCCGGTACGGAGGCTGTCATTGTCGAGGAGACAATTAACCGACGGGAAGAAGAAGGGAGTGCGTGAAGCCAGGCGCCGCTGTATGATTGGCTGGAGGAGTTAAGACAAGCCAGGCGGCGCTGATTCAGATTCGGTCTTAATTCCTCGATCAATCGTTGGCAATTGGCGTGGTCCCATGACTTCTGAAAGTGAGGCTTTTCGACTGGAGGCATCCCGAGAGTCGGTCAATAATAATAATAAAAAAAATAAGCCGAAATTACCATGTCTGAAACATTAATTATGGCCATGGAAAAGTCAAAACATGGCAACATAAGTCAGCATTCTGTTTTCCTAAGCAAATCTGCAGTGAGCGTCTTTTTCCATCATAAGGTAATGGCTTTGTTTTATGTTTTAGTAAGGTTTTACAACACTCGCAACTGCATAAAGGCATATTGATCCCGTAATAGGAAAACAGATATATTTAGTTTTAAAGAAAATAAAGATCATCTAAAAAAAAAGTAGAATGATTTTTAATAAATTGGCAAACAAGAAGTTAGCAGTTAATTAAAGGAAAAAAAAATTAATGTATCATTATTCTTTTAGGCCTACATCATAATATGGACTATATTATAATATTCCAAATCCCTACCATGTTCAATGGGCACACCAGGCCATACTTGTCATTCCAATTAATAGACAACCCCCCCCCCCCCTTCCTCTCTCTCTCTCTCTCTCTCTGTCTGTCTCTGTCTCTCTTTTCAAATCTCAATGCCTCACACACCCCGCTATATTATAATGATGAAGCTGTATTGCTTTCAAATGTTTCTATGCCTAATTTTCAAGTAGGCCTGAAGCCTGCAATTTAATAAAAAAGATAAAGTGCTAAATCCTGACAGGAGTTTCAAAACAATGGATACCTTTGTTCATTCTTTATCCTTTTAGTATTATTTAATAAGACTACTGGTACCTTGCTATGTGATGAGTCTACAGCAAACAGATTATAATTATGTTCTAATTTTAAGGTCCTTGGTGTACAGCAAGGGGGTTAAAGCGACTTGGACAGACAGGGAAGTACAAGTACTGTTACCTTGTACCCAATGAGTTTACAGTAAGCTCTTTGCATGTACCCAAAGACCATAATACATACATGTATTATTATATTAATATACTCTCTCATGTACCTCAAAATTATGGACTAGACGTTTTGATGGCGAGTGTTATCCACACAGTCCTAGCAGTATAAAAATTTGGAATCTATTTATAGAACTCTTCCGGGAGATTGTAAAGGGAAGCCATTCATAAACAACAACTATGACAACAAAGTGAAGCTCAGCTGTACGAATTATGAACAATGTTGTAATAGCAGCTAAAATCTAGGCAGGGAACCGAGTTCGGTCAGAATGATGGTTGGCAATAGTTGATCCAAAGAGAACCCTCTCATCTGATGTGTATATAATCTAGCTTTTAAGAAAATGCTCAGTCTGTGTTTTGAGTTGAAAGTAAACTTGTTGCCCGTTCAGACAGATTTGCTGCCGTCGATCAACGACCACGAACGCTGTGGTAGTCTGCTACAGAAGGCAACTCACACAAATGACAACATAGTAAAGTAGGAAATGCTGCTGTAGCAGCAGCTGTACTCTTTTCTTTTTGCTATCCCTTGACTGAACGGAAATTTAATTCCCAATGTTGGATTTTAGCAGATCTTGATTTGTTTTTTTAGTCTCAAGTGAAAGCCATTCTTCTCAGAGTTGGCTGCACATCTGATCCGTTGTTTGACATGGAAAGAAAAGATTTTTTGAAGTTGCAGTCTACTTAAAGTTCAAAAGCAATACTTGATCTGTCTAAGCTGTTATTGGCCTTAGTAATTAACCGAAAAGCTAGATTCCTGCTACTCTATAACAGTAGCCATGACGTCACCTTCTTCTGGGGCTCATCTACCATTGGATCTAACTCATGTTGAGATAGAGGTTCCAAATTATGGTGTTTTACGGGAGGAACGAATGAACAGAAATCGGGAAACGATGCAAGTGAGTGATTATGGCTGTGAAACGGATAAATAAAAGTTTAAAATTTATTTTAGACTTAAATTTTTGTCGAGATTTCATCACTGAGCCATTGCCAAAGGCCACCTCTATTCTCACCCGGAGTGAGAATAGTGCAGGCGAGTCTTGTGGCTATTCTCACCCGGTGCGCGTTCACCAAATTTTGCGTTCACCCTATACCACAGAATTCTACACCGTGATAACAGAAAAATTGTAGAATTCTGTGCCGTGAACAAACGTTCCATTACAACTGTAGCCTACTAAAAGCGTACAATTTTGTCTGTGGGCAGTGGAGAGAGAGAGAGAAAGAGAGAGAGGAGTAGCGTGAGAATTTCCGGGCAAAACAAAATGGCGACCCGCGTAGTTCGGCTCGATTCGAAAAGTTAAATAGCCGTAGCATCTTTGTAGACAACCAAATGAATTTACTTTTGTGTTTTAACATCATTTTTAAACTTTGTTTTGGTCAATTTGATCGTCCACACCGATAGACAGTATTCAGAATGAGACAGGGAGAGAGAGAAGAGGGGAGGAGTTGATCTTGCGAGAACTTCCGGGCGGGTGAGAATAGCCACTTTCATTGCCAAAACTTGGGGAAAAACATGACATCTCACATTAATGTGCTTAAAACGGGATGCCTTAAAGTATTATTCATCCAAAACTAGGATGCAAAACCTGCTTTAGGTGTTTCAGACCCCACGTCAGCATTGCAATCTTGAGTTGGTAAATTTTGTGACAAAAATGTTCGAAATTTTTTGTGATTCCTGGACTCTCATTTTGAGTGTGTGTATACCTATTCATACTTTCAAAAATGGGCGCTTTTTCGGTAGTTCCCACCCCGCATTTGTTATTCGCCGGTTATGGCCCCAAGAGTAGGGGGGTGTCAGGGGGGACCTAATAAAAGCAAGGTGGGGGGTTTCAGGGGGGCATGCCCCCCTGAATTTTACCACAATTTAATGTTTGCAGTTGTTAGGTTTGACATCTTAGCTTGCCGCGAATCAAACGTATATATAGATCTAGATGTAGGTCAGGCTCTATCAAATAAGGGGGGTGGGAACTACCGAAAAAGCGCCAAGACCCTAATTTAGTATGTGGTTCTTTTTCATGTGTGCTAAGATCTACTGCTATTTCTCATCAAGAAAAGTTAATTTGCTCACGAAATCGTTGCTTGCAAATAAAGACAAACAATTCAGATTGCTTTTACATTCGTCATGTCGTCACTAGACTAGCGTGTTTCAAAAACTGCATCATTATTCAGTAGAATCACCAGAGCTGGTTTAATCTTTTTGCTTTTCGTCGTTTATTCAATACTTCAAAAGCTATGCGACGTGTGAAGGAAACATTGATCAGCTGTTTTTTTACAAAATTGCCGTAATTTCGTGACGTACCGGAAATTCGAATTTTGGCTGGCGTGCTTTTGTTTTGAACAGATCATCAACAGTGCCGAGATATAATTTTGTCTCCTAGAATAACTTCCCCTTTCTAGCTTCCTCAGAACAGCGGAATCAAATAGTGGAAAGAGAACAATGTAAGTATTCATTGTCATCATCGTGTTTAAAACGTGACGGACAAGTAATCTAACATTGGTTGTTACGTATTCGAACTGTTTTCTTGTGTGTTTTAATGCTACCCTGTTGAATATTTTAGTGAAATTACAGTGTTTACATTGGATTCCTGGAACAAGAGTGTATGATGTGTGAACACACATTGATGGATCATTTCTGTGGTGAAATTGATTTAGCCTTTTGTGGAAAGTGATGATGCTTCGGATGTCATTCAGACGTACTAGACAGACTGACGTTCAAAAAATTAAATTGTCCTTTTATTAAAGCAAGCATTTTTAAAGTCTCTAAACCCTTCTTTTCATAGTTTTGCCCATGTTTCAGATATTGTGAATTATAAACCTCTCCATAACCGATTTATGGTGACTGTAAAGGAAATATTCTATAAAAAATAGAAATTTACTATGTGTCATTGTGACGTACAAGTAAGTGCAAGGCACATTTTCTGGATTAAGGGTAGACCTAAATGTCACTTGATTTTCCATCCAGTTGGATCTATTAATTTTCTATTGTAATCTCTGGCTGTGTATCATTGGCTAGTAAATCTTAATACATACAGATCTAGATTCAAATGGATTATTGTCGGCCAATTTGTTTTTTGTAGATTTCTACTATATTTTTTTAATGTATCTCAGAGATTACGTTCACCCCCCGCGGCAGTGCCACTGACTTTCGTGTCTTTTGGCCATTCCCAAAGGGGGACATTTCTCGTTCAAGCACCGTAGAATTGTAAATGGGCTGGCTCATCATGTCACGCTCATAACTGTGCCTGATCTACAACAGGGAAGTGCTGCTTTTTCTCTCCTAATCCTTACTCTTGTCATTTTTCCTCTACTTCTTTTGTATGTTTGTCACACTCTTGTGACCCGCTATTTTCGGGGTGCCTTGATGGTAGAAGCAGACCTTGTGCTGTTGAAGCTAGAGAGGTGAGCAGAGTAAGTCTGATTCCCTGTAAAGACTTCTCTGTTGACACCCACCCTTGGCGCTCATATGTCCTTTATGCTGTTGCGAGCGCCGTAAAACCCTCTACTAAAAAAAAAAAAGAGATTACCTTTAAGGTCTACAGTTCAAAACTGGTTTAAACCCTAGTGTTCCACACCAGCCCGAGAATGTGGATGCTTCTTCGGAGATTTTTTATATTCCCTTAGTTACTAACACTGATTTAAAGCACTTTTTAACCATCGATCCAGGTGCCAATGAGATTTTCACTGGTCAATATTGTCCCGTTTGCAAGCGATGGAGTGAAGAAGACTTAAAAGTCAGTACAGCCAAGAATATTTGCTTTTAAGTTTAAACAGGACCCTGTTGGGTAAGTATCATTCCATGAATCTGTATCTGCTTGAATTTTTTTATCGGGATCTTTTGAACTTTTGTGATTTAGATATCAGATCTAATAGTCTTCAGCACTTATTTGAATTTTTAGATTTTGGGTTGAAAAATTTATCAGGTTTGTTTGAGTGGTGTTCCTGAGTTTCTCCTTCGGACTGGTGTAGTGTATTTTTGTTTGAATGTTAAAATTACTGAATTACTTTCTGACAGAGATACAAAATTGTTCTTAACGGTGTGAGCACGATGGACAATTTTCATTAAACAATATAACACGGATAGCTCAAATTCGTCAGGACCGGCCTCGGTAGTTCGAGGAATTATAGTTCAAGGGGATATCTTAAAAGATAAAGAAGTTTTAAAAAACATGGATCGCAGGCCCAGTTCGACAGATACGTGATTTTGAGTCTTCTGCATTCGACCTATCTGTGTTATATATTTGAGGACTTAGTGTAACTATTGTGAACATATATTTGTTTTTAACCTGCCTTTGTTCCTTCCAACTGTGCCAAAGTGTTCTGTTGAGAACCAACACTTCAAAATATTTAAGAGTAGACTCCCTTTTCACAAAGAAATCTAATGTTTATATTTTCAACAGCAACACAACATTTAAGGAGGCTGAAAGAAAGACGGCCAGGGAGTACTGCAAAAAGCCTTAGTTGGAAGAGGAAAAGGCAAGGCAGCTTCAAATACAAAGGGAACGACAATGAAAATACAGGTATAATTTTATACATAAACATTTTCCAGTGAAGTTTGTTAAACCTTTTGAGCTGACTATTGTCGGGAAGATCGTGTGTTAGTCCCCCACCGGCCATCACGACTATTGTTGTAATTTTGTGTGGGTAAGTTTTGCGATTAACAGCAACTTTGAACTGAACACGCTGACAAAAGCACACAAACAAAACCTAATTTATTTCCAACTCTTATAGATATATCGATATATATTATATAATATATATTATATGTTTATCTATTCTATTCATTTGTGGTTGTTATGATGTATGGTACAAGTTTCTAGCTTCTGTGGGATGTGTTTCATGACTGTTTTAGTGAAATTACTGTGTGTCAGTTTAGCGTAAGCAAAAATAATTTGCTGCTGAGGGTGTAAGGAGTTCAGAAATAATCCACCACTGGAAGCGTTAAACTGCATAGTAATAGTTGTGGATCCAATGGATTTGTTTGCACCGCTATCATATTTATTATTAAATTGTTTCCTTTACTTCAGATTTTACAGCACTCTTGACTCTAAAAGGTCATTTCAGTCCCAGGAAATAGCTTAGGTCACTGTACATTTGGAAAGAGGTAGATATGGCAGGCCACACTAGAGAGCTCGACAACTGCTAACTTTGATTGGATATATTAGTTTCTTTTGCTAACAAATACATTTGACAAGCTCAAAATTAATACCCCAAACCTCACTTTTGACTTATTGAACATGAAGATTAGAACGTGGGTACAGTATGCTGGGTTGTCATATGAATTGTAGTCAGCTAGTTCAACATTTAATTGCAGGTTAACAGATGCTCCACCTCCCTTGACACAGATACGTGTCTTCTCTTTGGGTAATGTATATGTTTGGACCTCTGTGTTTTTGCAGGGATCGTTTGGAAGCAGCGAAGGCGACAGGATCCCCAGCAGGAGCCACACTAACGCCCAGACCGAAAAAAACTTGAGCACAACTGGCCAAAGAGGACGACGTTCGGGAAAGGAAGAGGAAGTCAGCCAAAAAAAAATGAGGGACAACTATTCCAGCCAAAAGAGAACAGCTGTGAACAGGAAATGAATGGATGGATGTTATTCAAAGAAATTAAAAGAAAAGAAGAGGGAGTAAGCAAGAGTGCAAGGGGACAAAACCTGGGGGGGGGGAGATGGGGTTTGAAAGGGGCTATTAAGTCAGCTGTTTGGAGAGTTAATGAGAAAACAGGTTTAAGAAACCAATAGATTTGCCCATGTCATTAAGGGGCTCATGACAACCTCAAACAAAAGTACACAGGACAAACTGCGGGAGCAGAACATTTGCTTTTCCCCAACATCAACTGCAGTGAAAAGAGATATTCAAAGTTTGAAGTTTGCTATTCAAAGTTTGTTCAGCAAACTTGGTAAAAGTAGAGGCAAGTGAGGAGAACTCTTTTTAGTGAGTTGGGGGCGGGGCATAAAATCTACTGGGAGAGGGGGGATCTAAGTTGAAGAGATGTGGGGAGCTTTACATGGAGAAGAAAAAAAATAGAGACACTTTTGTTCAGTACTTGGATAAAGTTGCAAGTGATGTCGAGGACGAAAGGGCTGTGTTGAAATCGGGGGTCACTAAAAAAATCCTCTCCTCCTCTCCTTCGTATTCACAAGTGTTTTATGAACGAGCACTCTGCTAAAGTTTCTGTGTGTAGTTTTTACTGGCATAGTCCGGCTCACATTCTTCCTGTTTCTAAAAATAAATATCGTCTATGTATATGTGAGGTGTGTTGTACAAGGGACGTCCAGAAAGTAAGTACTGTTTTAAAATAATGAAAAAGAAATAATTTTCCCAATCAAAACGATTTATTTTTTAATACCTCATATATATGACTACTTGTCCAAGTAGTCGCCAGAACTGTTGAGGCATTTATCGTAGCATGGGACGAGCTTCTGAATGCCCTCATCGTGGAAAGCTGCCGCCTGCGACGTCCGTCAATATCTGGTCTCTCCTGTGAGATCAGCGTCTGAGTCGAAGTCCTGCCGCCGGGCCAAAAACATTTTCAAATGCAGGAACAGGTCTGGGCTGTACGATGGGTACTCATCCGAAGGAGGCGATCAGGTTTTGGGTCTGTGCAGACTTGTGAGGAGTTGCATAGTCGTGAAGCAGAACAACGCCGTCGCTAAGCATTTCGCGTCTTTTTTAAAAAATCGCTCTACGCAGGCCGCATCAGGAAAAAAAGTCATGTGTACAGTGTTTTGGGACAGGCAAGGAGTTCTTTTAGTAGAATTTTGGGGAAATGGGATGACAGTTAACTCTGATGTGTACTGCAACACACTTTAAAAAACTGCGTAGAGCGATTCAAACAAAAGATGCGGAATACTTAGCGACGGCGTTGATCTGCTTCACAACAATGCAACTCCTCACAAGTCTGCACAGTTGAAGCACTCATCGTGCAGCCCGGACCTGGCTCTGAGTGACTTTCATCTGTTCCTGCATTTGAAAAGGTTTTTTGGCCAGGCAGGACTTCGACTCAGATGCTGATCTCACAGGAGAGACTGGACATTGGCTGACATCGCAGGCGGCAGCTTTCTACGATGCAGGCATTCAGAAGTGCGTCCCATGCTACGACAAATGCCTCAACAGTTCTGGTGACTACGTAGAGAAGTAGTCATATATATATATACTAGCTGGGCCCCCTTTCGATGAAAGGAATGATCGGCGGTGCTATACGTTCTTATACTAACCGTTCTCTGACTGTCTAGACCGGTGCTTTAACATCAACTTAAAGTCATTGGCCTGCTATATTTACTCTCTAATGGAATGGGGCAATAAATCTTGAGAGATGAAAAAAATTATAAGGTCTAGATCTATACTCTCAAAACAAAACGCACCTCGCGAAATATCACTTCCGGGTTTTCTAAAATTACAGAGACAGAAGCGTCGGCCTACAAAAGCGATCGGCGAAATAAAGAAATTTTGTTTTTTGCAGCAAAACTGTCTCAAAACTGAAAAAACCAAGGGCGCCATGCCTGGAGAATATTTTAAAGAATTTTTTGGCGAAAACCGCATGTCGAATGATGCAGCCTTTAAAAAGCCTTTTGAATAGCAAAATTCGGCCACCACAAATAGATAATAGATATATGAGGTTTTCAAAAATAAATCGTTTTTATTGAGAAAATTATTTCTTTAATAATTATTTTAAAACGGTACTTACTTTCGGGACGTCCCTCGTAACTCTAAAGTGAAAGTGAAAGTTTGAAACTCATTTCTCACTAAGAAACAAGATCTTTAGTCTCTTTGAAATTGTACATTGTGTGATATGAGGCGAGAATTCCGTGAGTGGGTCACTGATACCTGATGTGCTAACTCAGTCTAGCAGCTTTCATTGTTGGGAGCAGATGCGGGAGGGAAATTCATCGAAGATGATGAAAGTGAAGGAAAAAGTACCTGTTGGATGTCTTGTTGGCTCCCTGTTTGTTGAATTACAAGGTCTTGTGTTTAACAAATTCAGTGATTTGTGGCTGGGCAATCAATTTCATATTCTCAGGGACTCTTTGCCCTCATCTTCTGTGTTGATGGTTGTCGACTTCGCTGAAAATTATACTTGTCGCAACCAGGATGAGGCACAAAGTGCCTACTGGGGATACACTCAGGTGACTGTTCACCCCACAGTTATTTGCCAAGTTTGTTCTGCCTGTGGTGAGCTGACTGTTAACAATTAATTTAGTCTTCTCGTCAAGTGACTTGAAGCATGATGCACACCTTGTAAATTGTTTCTTCAAGAAAACGGTAGATTTACGGAAGTCTTAAAGTGCATACTTTTCTCTGTAGACAAGACTTTGTCTTTTCCAGTACATTGTGTCATCATTGTTAGGTACATCATGTTTGTCATCACTGTTTTGTACAAGTCAGCCCCATTGACTTTGTGCTTTTGCCTCATATTAGTTTAAAGTTGTTTTGCACATGTTTTTCTGGTACTGAGGCTTTGATAAATGTATTTGCACAGCCTTTTACTATTGTGATGTGTTGTCAATGACAATAAAAATATGTCCTGTTTTGTTCATAACAATCATTACATGTTCTGTGCACTGCATCATTGTTACAATGCTTGTCATTTTTATTACCATTATGAATGGAATTAATAGCATAGTGAATAAATTCCTTGTTTACTATATAAAAGGAATTTTAAGTCTATAATTTGCCTTGCTACTTATCTGTTTTTGTCACCACTGTTACATACGAGTACAAGAAATACAGTGGTTTCCAAACCAATAGACCCATATCTCCAAAACCCTGAATCTCTTTGCTCTGATAACGCAGGAATATGAACTCTAAATGTCAGTCGATCACCGACAGAAAATGGAGTCAAATTGGTAAGAAAAACATTTTTGCACCACTAAGTCTCAAGTGAGTCTCACGTAAGTCTCACGTTTTGGCAATGGCTCCATTAGGCTGAGTGACTGGTAAACCAGTTGTATCCCAAAAATATTGATAGTGATCTCGATAGAGTGCTCGTATTATAGTAGTGATAAAAAGAACATCATCTGTGTCATAGTGAAGCTATTGTTTTATTATTTAGAGAATTCTTTGGAGTTCATGTACGCAATATTGAAAGGATGACCCATTAACTTGGTATCTTCCCTTGCTATGCTAGTAAAGTTATTACTATGGAAATGATGATGGTTTTCTGTTGTCAAAAAAGGTTTAGTAAATTCTCTTTTCTTCCGAGTTCATTGCTTTCTCAGCTAATAATAGAGCGTCAACAGCGTTGCAATAGTCTTATAAATTTTTCACTCAAGATTTTAGTTTAGTCATTATAAAATCTGATGGTACCATCAGAAGGGAGGTTGTTGTTGGGACGTGGTTTGGTTTGGACATTAAATTTTATTTGTATTGTTTTATTCCATTTAGTAAGGTTTGTCTTCTTTGCAAGAGTTTAATTCTGAACTTGCTGATAGTGTTATCTTCTCTCTTCCTGAACAATAAAGGATACAGAGATGCTGCTTGTATGAGAGATGTGTAAGTGATTAGACTAGCAGGCCTAATTGAGTGATTTTTATATAAAGTGAAACTACTTGATTCTGATTTCAGGCTGTTGACAAAGGAATCAGCAAAGACATTCTACCAGAGGTGAGTCCTGGTCGAACAGACTATGATTTTTTCTTTAAAGAAACATATAAGTTCCATTCTCTTGGACTATTTCCCCAACTTCAGTGAAAATGTTTGAGTTGTAACGTTAATGAAATGATGTCAAAGCAAATGCAGGGAATGACAGTTACAGTGGAATCGATTAAAATCTAAATTTATTTGGCCGCTTGATAGACCAGCCGTGATTTTGATTTAATTAAAGAATGCTCAAACACTGCATGTTGAAGGGAAGTAATTCATCACCCAAATTCCAAGAATTAGAAAACATACTTAGTTATGTACCTTCTGCCCCAAGGTAAGGCATGGTTATTTCGTCAGAAACAATGTTATGTCCCTGGGTACGTCAGTATTCCTGTTTGTTTGTTCTTGTCTTTTTTCTCAAGGGAGGGGGGG